TTTCACATTAAAGCAATCATATTGGATTTTTTTTATTGTTTTTTTACTTTGAGATAGTTTTTGTTTTATTTTCCATCCATTCCCATAAAAAACAGAGAAATCGTTCAAGATTATTTTATTTAAGCTTTAATAAGCAGYTAAATAACCCTCAAACACATGAAAAGGTAACACAGTTATAAATACGATGCTTAAAATAGAACAAATGCAAATTGAATACGTTAATAGAGTAAAATGACGACAAAAAAAAGTCCGCTTTCACGGAAGCTGTAAAAATCGATTGCTCTGTTGTTGATTAGAAAGCCTGTTGTCAAGACGAATTGACGCGTTCTCCAGAGTTTCAGCAGAGTGCGCATGCGCATTGAGGATTTAGCRTTATGGCGTCGTCACTGGAGAACATAGGATGAATTGAGGCGATTTAAATGCATTAAAAGCGCAAACACCGCCGGAACATGCACAGTGAGAAGGTAAGCGATTCATCTTTGTTCTTGCTGTTAGTTTGAGAAAGATTTAAAGTTTGCTCGTAAACGTTTTTCCAGGCTGCGAACGATTCTTGTTGTTCAACAGAGTTTGTTTTTGTCAAACTAAAATGACCGCTGCATTTATCATGTTAACATGTTTTTTGGAAAGAAGATAACCAAGGAAGACACATGGAGAACTGCTGACTTGAGAAGACACATCAGAGTAAGTGTTTGGGTTTAATCCATGTAAGTACAACCTTACAATGTGAATGATTTTGTTTTACATATCAGCAGGGAAGCACCTATGAGGATGGCTATCTGAGAAGGAGAGATGTCAGTGAGAGGAAGCACCGGGGTGGGGAATCCACAGAGAGACGTTACAGAGACTCTGAAGAGTCCAGACGAGACCGAGACGCACTCAGAGAAAGGGAGAGCACAAGAGAAAGAAAAGATGGAGACAAATATATGGAGCGAAGGAAAGAGAGCTCTCAAGACAGGAGAGGRGACAGAGACAGRAGAGATGACAAAGAGAGGASAAGACARGTGGAYGATAGAGAAAACAGGGAAAAAAGACCAGATAGAAAGGRAAAGTATGATAGGGAGAGGCACAGAGATAAGGAGAAAGAGAGGGTAAGGGACAGGGAGAGACACACTGATGAGGACAGGGATAAACAGAGAGAAAACAGGGACAAGGAAAAAAGGAGAGAAGARAAGGACAAAGACCACAGGAGTGAGAGAAGACGGCATGAGGAAAGTCGAAGAGAAAGAAGAGGTGAGTCAGAAAACCAGCTCACAGAGCCCAGGGATCAACGACACAGAGACAAATACGAAGACAAGCGAAAGGACAAAGAACACCAAGAAAGACACGGAGGAGACAGAAATCACTCAGAGCGGAAAGAAGGAAGAGGTCTGTGCACTTTTATTTACCGGTACATGTTTACAGGATTTCAGTGTTCATTTGATGACAGACTTTCTGCCTGTCTGATTTCAGAGTACAGAGAAGAACATAGACGGCACAGAGAGGAAAGAGACAGGAGACACAAAGACAGAGGACATCATGTAAGCATTTGCAGCAATGTTGATCTTAAACTAAATCGCATGTTTAGCAAAAACACATTGATGTGTTTTTTTTTTTTTTTTTTGGGCCATTCAGGATGAGAAACGGAGGCACGACAGTGATCCCAGGAAGCATCTGGAGATGAAACCGTCTGATGAAAACGTCAAGCACGCACGTGGCGAAACGGACAAAAACAAAGAAAGACGGAAAACAGAGGAAGAACATGCAGATCGGAGAAACAAAGAGAGAAAGCGCAGAGAAGAGGACGACTTGGAAAGAAATCACCAGGAAAGGATCAGCTCTACAACGCTGTCATCAGAGGAAAGTCGCAGACATGAGAAAAAGGAGGAGACAAAGGTGAGTGAGTCTACTGCACACATGTTTTATAGCTTTTAAAATCAGACTCACTCCAGTGGATTCTCAAAATGTCTTCTACATGAAAATTTCAAAAATATTTGGATGTTGAAAATGTTTCCGGTTGCGAGTTTTGTGTAAAACAAAGGGGATGCAGAGGAGCCTTGAGGACATTAGGAAGAATAAATGGAAACTTTTTTCCATGATGTAATTAGACCATCAAATTCAAAAAGAGTGAATATTTGCAACATAAAACTATGAACTTGATCTTGTCTTTGTAGTGTATTCARTTGAACAGTGGTGGGCAGCACTAATCTAAAAATTAGTTGCACTAACCCTAAAGCACTAACTCAAATATTTAGGTCCCCTAATTCTAAAGCACTAACACACTGAAAATTTAGCAAAAGCTAATGTTTTCAAGCTAAAGCACTAAAATAACCCAATCAATCCATGAGTCACATATCACCACGTTGCTCTCTTAAGCTTTATCACTGACTTTCCACAGCCGTATTTGAGTGCATATAAATTGTCAAAATGTCACCTGGTGGATAAGTGACACCCATATGAAGAAAATGAAACATTAACATTGATCAATAACATTTAAAGACCTCAGTTAGTGCTTCTAAATTTAGCCTATAATTTTAGCAAGTGCTAATCCACTAACAGTTTTTAAAATTAGCAAAAGCCCTAAAGCACTAATCAGGAAATTAGTTCCCCTATTAGTGCTTTAGTGCTTTAGGGGAACTGTGCCCACCACTGCAATTGAATATAGGTTGAAAAGAATTTGCAAATCATGGTATAATGTTTTTATTTAAGTTTTGTCCGAACTTCCTTGGAATTAGGTTTGTAGTGTCTGTGAAATCACTAATGCATTGTTCCTCCTGGTTAACGTACCAATCTGCATTTTTAGGTTGATAATGATGAAGACTTGGCAGAGCACGAATATGAAGATGATTTTGAGGTAAATATGATGGAGCAACATAATTCAATAAGTAATTCTGTTTCTAAAAAGGTTTTTTATTTTGGCAGTAAATTCATTTTTAACATTCATTTGTTTGCTTTCGCATGCTTTTATCAAATTCCATTCTAAGAAAGCGGTGAGTGTTCGTGTCTGAAAATGTGATGYGTGCTCATCTTGCTTGATTACCTGTTTGTTGGCATTGAGATTGCAGAATTGTGCACGTGGCAAGTGATGCATAGGGTTTCTCTTGTTGAAGGATTATGAGGACGATTTCGACGAGGTGGAAGAGAGTGAGGATGAGAAGGACGCGGTCATGGTTGATGATGAGGGGGAACTCACAGCACAACAGAGGAAGGAGATCGAGTTGATTCAGAGAGCCATGGCTGAAGAGAATGAGAGCGCCCTAACAGCTCAGCCGAGACAAAGTATGAGCAGAGAGGAGGAAGATGGGTCCAAATGGTCTAAAGGTACAGAATTCAGTCTGTGTTTTTCTGTGCAGAATTATAGCAGAAATAATAAAACCTTAACTGGCCTGTTTCCAGACTCAGAAAAGAATCAGCTTAAAGCCTCCCAAAGTGGAAAATTCATCAACTTTGTGGCTGCGAAGCAACGTGAAGTCAGCAAGAAAGTCGCCACGAAGCAGAAGTATGTTCCCTTGCRAGTAAAACCTCATCCTAATATAAAAGCAGTGAAACTGGTTGCAAGTCTTACTTGTTATAAATAATAATCAGTTTTATGGTGCATGTCATGGGTTGTTTTCCAAAGCGTATTTTCTGTGACCTCAGGAAACGAAGCTCGGAGCTGCTTCGCTTAATAGAGCTGGATTTCTCCACGACTTTCTCCCTCTTGGATTTACCCCCTGTCAGTGAATATGAAATGTACATCAAGAACTTTGGAAATGCAAACACCAAACAGGTCGGTGTCTGCGGTTTTTCTCAGGGAGCTTAAAAAAAAGTTATAAAGTCGAGAGCGTATGTTCACACACAGGAATGTTTTTCCTTCCAGGCGTACGTTCAGTGCAACGAGGACAACACAGACCGAGACATTCAGACTGAAGACATAGACATGTGTGAAAAATGGACACAGCATCCCCCAGAGCACMATGGAGCCTGCGGGGGTAAGAAAAGATAGTGCTCTGGTCAACGAAGAGTATTAGGTTTAAAGGGATCCACGATTAGTTGTAACATTAGACTTTATTTGATAAACGTACTTTAACTGTAAAATAAAGACTGTAAAAATACTGTAGGATGTTCAATTTTTATAATTTTTAAACTAAAAGTTTAAAAATGAATTACACGGACGGGGCCATTTTATTTACACACAAAGCATTCTGGGTAAATGATGACATCAACTAGGTCATCGGCACGAGGCTGCTAGCGAGCTATATCCACCCTGAAGGTTAATCTTGGACAATATCTGATGATCGACTCTTTTAAATGAAACCAGAGAGCGTTGACAGAGAGGAGAAGGTAGAAATGACTCAGCCTGTAACTGAAAATATGGATGGAGGACAACAGAGCTGCTTCATGGAAGAAGAACCYCAGCTTAGCCTGTTAGCTTTAGCATTAGCCCCGACACTATCACCATATATGTATTGGCTCAGCGCTACACATTCTCCTCTCATCACTGAGGTCCTCCATCCACATGACAGAGAGGAGAACACAAAAATGACTCAGTCTGCAACTGAAAATATGGATGGAGGACCTCAGTTTAGCTTGTTTGTCGCGCTAGCGCCGAGCTAATACATATAAGGCAATATAGCGATGGCCCTACTGCAAAGGCTAACAGGCTAAGCTGAGGTTCTTCTTCCATGAAGCAGCTCTGTTGTCCTCCATCCATATTTTCAGTTACAGGCTGAGTCATTTCTACCTTCTCCTCTCTGTCAACGCTCTCTGGTTTCATTTAAAAGAGTCGATCATCAGATATTGTCCAAGATTAACCTTCAGGGTGGATATAGCTCGCTAGCAGCCTCGCACCGATGACCTAGTTGATGTCATCGTTTACCCAGAATGCTTTGCGTGTAAATAAAATGGCTCCGTCTGTGTTAAAATATATTTTTTAAAAAATTACAAAACTAAACAGCCTACAGAAATTTTACAGTCTTTATTTTACAATTAAAATAAATGTTTATCAAATAAAGTTTAATGTTACAACTAATCTTGGATCCCTTTAAAAATCTTTTATCTTGGCAGATCCAAACGTCTCTCAGGAAGCACTAGACGAGAGCAGAACGGAACTCAACTTTGATTCGCAGCGGCTGACATCGTTTCTGCGCTCAGCCTCACAGGTTTTAGATGGGCTTTTTTTTTTTTTTTACTCACGCAACTTATAAATCTTCTTTCCTCTAAGTTGTTAGTTGTGACCTTTGTCATCTGTTTTGGCAACTCGAGGTCATGTTGGTGCTGTTGGAAGAGGATCAAGCAGAAAGAAAATCCCTAAGAGAGCTGAAGCCCCAAACAGAATCGCTTTCATTCAGTGATGGAAGTTTACAGCTCAACACTAAGTTGCCTTTTCTCTTAGGTACACGTTTTGTAGTAATAGCTCCACTGTATTCTGATATTGTTTTTTGGGTTGTTTTTTTTTCACAGAAACTTTTGAAATTGTAAAGTATCACATAAATAATATTATCTTTCGCGGTACGTTCACTGTTGGATTGTCACCTGCAGGTCGAMGAATCAGCCTGGTGCACTTCTCTCAGGTTCAGAGGCACACCATGCTGTCTGTGCATTTGCCCACAACCAAAGCGAGCGCAGTTCGGCTTGACGGCASCACCGTCATCTGTGTTTGGAACATCTGGGAACCGTCCACACCTCAGAAGATACTCCTTTATGAATCTGAGGTAACATTTCCAGCATTCATTTTTCAGTCACAGGCTTGGATCGTTTTTACAACCCCCAGTTCCAGATGATGGGACATCGTGTAAAACACAAGAAACAGATTATTATTTAATGTTCAAATGGATAAACTTTATTGTTTACACTACTTTGTAGTGTAGTCAATTAACCATAGGTTGAAAACGATTTGAGTCATCATATTCTGTTTTCATTTGTGTTTCATACAACATCCCAACTTCATTGAAATTGGGGTTGTATTTATGTTTTTTTTTTTGTTTGTTTTTTGATTTTTTGTGGAAGGAAACTGCTACGGGACTGAATCCAAAATCCTTGTTTTTCTAGGTGCTGTGTTGCTGTTTCAGCCCAAGAAAGTCCACTCTAGTGTTTGGAGGCACATCTGTYGGTTCTGTGGTGCTGTGGGACCTGAGGGAACAAACCAGCAACCATTACAGCTTAAAGATTGGAGAGAATGAGTGGACCTTCAGACAGCCCACGTTCTCCACTGGTGTGCTAGTGGACGTTTTATTTTCACTTCGTTCCATCCTGAATGCCATGCTCTTATTCTCATTTTATTCAGAAAAAAAAAACAGGAACCATCATTATTTTTTTTATTTTTAAATAGGGATGTCCCAATCAGATACTCAGTATCGGTATCGGTGGCAGATATGGCCATTTTTTTTTTTTTTTGAAAATGAGGTAGAATCGGATTGAATCATGTGATCGGGCCGATCCAGTTTTCACGACAGTTTTCAGCATCATCATGCTTTACAACTGCCGTTAAGAAGTCAAGACGCACGCAAGTATGCAACCATGTCCACAGTGTGGGAACACTTTTCAATGGAAAACGATGATAGTGAAACTGCAGCTTGCAAAATCTGCAAACTGGATGTTTCTTGTGGTGGGAACAGCAGGGCTCGCTTTAATACTACCAACTTTGTCACTTGGAAGGAAATACAGCTATCGGATCAGTATCGGAAAGACTAATCATAAAAAAATCAGATTGTATCAGGAGCCAAAAAAGCTGGATCGGGACATACCTATTTTTAAATACATTTCAGTCCTCCCTCAAAATGAGGATTAGCAATGTACAGTACGTATGTCTGTACATACTGTTCCTATACTTCATCTACTCTAACTTACTTTAAGTTCAAAGGTGTTTTTTCTATTTTATCAGTAGTGCGAATAGAGCAAGTGCTGACGTCTTCTCTTTTGTCATCCTGTCAACACAGATGCAGTGATGGCCGGCTCAGGCCATTTCTCATCTGTGACCTCTGTGGAAGTCGTCTCCTCCACTGCAGCAGGAGGGCTGAGTTCAGAGGTCCCGCTTTTAGCATCTGAGGAAGGTATGAGATTCTGAACTCACCGGTTAAACATCATGTGTTGTGTTCCTTTGTGACATTTCCAGATAAGGCCGTGTTTGATTCAATGTTCTTATGATCCAGAGACATCAGGGTTTTCGTTCCAGCTGGCTTCTCTGGATGAAAGCGGGGTGTTAAACTTCTGGGTAAGTAACAGAGCAAACTCAAGGTTTTCAGTTCATATTGAGACAATCTGGAGGGTTAAGCTGTTGAGCTCTAAAGTTATTTGAATTTAGTTTATTTTTTGCTTAACTTTACTACAGCTTTTTTTTCTCTCCACTTATGAAGTTACTTTCCTGTCTTCACTTTGTGCCCTTTAGGTGGTGTTGGAACTTCCCAGAGGAAATGAGGCCGGCTCGCCAACAGATCTAGGTAAGAAGGTCACATCTTTCCACAAACATTTTCCCACACACACACACACACACACACACACGCACGCACGCACGCATGCACGCACGCACGCACGCATGCACGCACGCACGCACACACACACACACACACACACTTCAGTCTTCACTTTGTTTCTCATTTATCCCCACTCGCAGGTCTTCGTCCCGGAGGCAAAGTAAAACTGCTTCACAGCTCCTCCCTCCTCACTGCTGACAGGTTAGGTTGATAACTTGCTATGATCATCTGTTACTGTCAGTCCCTGGGCTCAAAAATACCCCGCAGTGTTTTTGCCCCCCTGGTCATTTGATCCTGTTTGTAACGCCTCAGCATCTGATGGGAACATTTGTCCGGTCGTGTACTCTACAAAGAATTGTGATTCAATTTAAGAGTTGGTGTAACTTCTAATCTTCTAATGTCTGCATTTTACATTTTTCTGTTTCTCTTGCTCTGTTGAATCTTTAGGATAAGAGATGCAGCAAAAACAGGACCGATACAGACCATGCTTTTAAAATTCCTCCCRACGGACTCCAATCACTTCTTYATTGGCACCAATTTGGTGAGTCCSATCATGCACTTTTGCATAAATATCTTCATACATTYATATTAGRACGTTTAATTTTGARGACTCYTTTCTTGTCTAGGGTCTGGTCAGTCATGGAACGAGTCACGGTCTGAAGGCTGCACCAAAATCTTACAGGTTTCAGGACRTGGAGGAGCGAGCTGTTGACGTCAGCTCTATCAGCTTTTCTCCTTTCAGACCACACTTGTTCTTGGTAAGAGTTTTTTTT